CCGAGCACTTGTGGCACAACTCCACAGACATCCGGTTGTTATTGACGTGAAGGCAAATGCCCGACGACTCCACTTTCTGCGCGATTCTCGTCGACTTGCGCAGCGACTTGTCGTCGACGGCCGCCCCCAGAATACCGGGGCTCTTATCGCCGCCTCCCTTCCCGTAATGGCCGGGCGCCTCACCCACGAAGTGCGTGCCCACGAACTCCAGTTTCGGCGTACCCGAGATGTGTTTGATGAGAGCGCCTATAGCCGAGTCATTCTCGATGACGCCGCGGAGGTAGCGGTTCTCGTTGCGCAGCTCTTGGATGTCGTGGTTCGCGCGCTCGTACAGCGCCTTCGTCTCCTTCAGCTCAGCGCTCATGGCGTTCATCCGGCGCCTCATCTCCTCGTTCTCGCGCTTCTTCTTCTCGCGGTTCTCTCGCGCGGCGATCGCGTTACGGGACATACATTTGTTGCCCCCTTTCGACGGCTTGCGCCCCACTTTCGCCTTACCCTTCGGCTCATTGGGCGCCACAAACGACTCGTCGTCCGATCCGCTGTCGTCGGATTCGTCGTAGGCGTAGGTCTCGGCCGATATGTGGCGCTTACGGGCGGCTCTCTTCAACTCATTCACCGCTTTCTTCGTCTCGTAATCGTTGGCCTCGTGTTTGACGACAACCCGTTTGACGGTCGCAGCGGTGGCGACGGTAGCGAGCGGTACGTCGGCGCCGATCGTCACCTCATTGTCGCTGAAGATAATGCCGTTCAGGTCGAGCAGAGCGTTGTTGTTGTCATCGAGACTGAAGCAGCCGCTGCTGGTGGTGGCAGTGGTGTTGATGAGGTCTTGGATGTCGATCTCGTTGAGGTCGAAGGGCCCCATGTAAGGGGTGGGGGCGTTGGCGTACTCGTCGTCATAAGCGCTCGAAATGGTCGACCCGTCCATTGCGTGCAACTCTCCACCGAAGAGCTGAGTGTCCATACATTCCATCAATGGATCAAATGTACTGAAGAATTGGCTGAAGGACTGGCTGTTAATCGCCGTCTTATCTACTGATGACAGGATGGATGACTCGATGGTCTGTTCCCTGCGGTCGTAGTCGTGGTCTGAGACGACCCGACGAGTGATCTCTTTGAGTGACTGGTGTGGCGACGACTCCCGAGTTGGCGATGGGGTCGAGCGGTCACTGCAATCACTTCCACCGGTACTGTCATAACGATTAACAAAATTTGATAACATTTGTCTCACCCAATAAGTGTTTTTACGCTTAAAAGCGCTTAAAAACAACTAATTCAACACAAATTCAGTGGAAATTACCTTAAATTGGATTTAAATCCAAATGAAACACAATCTCACTGTCTATTCAACACTCACTTCACTGTTGACTGCAATGAAAATGAATGCTAAATGAAATACACGACTGAATAAACTCGTAAAACGTAACGAAATGCAAACGTTTTGACGAAATACTGCCTTTTTATAAGCCTTAGAGTCCATTGGTTTGGGTTCGCCCGTCAACTACTGTCCCTTTAATTCACCGCATGTTTGCCCCCAACCACTGCCCCCGTAATGAAAATGTTTGCAAACTTTATGGCAAATACTGTCACCCATTGTCGCGCATAATATATGGACGCGACTGACGTGAAAGTCTCTCATTTGTCAGTTTTTTTCAATTGCATGACATAATGCTATTCCCCTATTGGCCCATATGTTTGCCATTCATAGACACACCAATTCACTAAAAACATACCCTTTTGACGCCATTTAGTCATTGAAAAATCTGGAGATTCAGTACCTTTTGACACACAAAACACAACTTTGACGGCTATAATATATTACTAATAAAATGCATTAAATAAATAACTGACATATATATGGGCTATTTTAACTCCCTTTCCTAGCTACCTGTAACCCCCTTATAAATCTTGTATATAAACGTTAGTTTCTATTGTCAAGCAGCATCATCAATGGTTTGTTAAAAATTTATGTGGTCCAGGTGCTAAAACATTGATTGAATGAGAAAATATGTGGCATATGCTTTGACAGGAAAGGGGTGTAACAGTGTCTGCGAATGGTTGCTCGCATAGGTGTTTCACCAAAACATAAAATATGATGCAATCGACTGTTTGTTTGGCGCTCACTGTCGCCAATAGTTAAGGCATTTATGGGCGAACACACTGTTTAGTGCATTGGGGCCGCCAATAGCCCGGGTTATATGAAACCCTCATATATACCCGGGTATATCACATAACTAGCACCAGATTTGGTGAATTAATGAAGATTCCCATGTAAACCAATACTTATTAAGTGTTTGAATGACTCAATTAATTGCATACAACGAGTTTGATAGCATTGAACACTGCATTTACTGTATGTCACATACACTATACACTTATTTTCAAGACTTTCAATGAATTTATTTTTTATATCACTATTCGCGTGATACTTGTTAAATACAATTGATTTATTTTTCTATGATTAATTCATTAAACGCTCGCAATTTAGTCGCTATATTATGACAAATTTGATAATAATGTTATAGTTTTTAAAATTCATATACAATGTCACAGTATGTCTAGAGGTCTAGAGTCCGCCGCCACCGGAGTAGTCGTGGAGGACATGCCGTTTGTACGACTGGTTCGCCTGTTCCAGGAATATAAAGGCCAGTACTGTGTGCGGACCCACCCGTCCATAGTATGGCGTGAATCCCTTCCACAGCGCCAACACTCCCTCATTGCGAACCACGCGTGCGATCACATCCTATGGACACGAATGCAGAATATTCTGTGAAAGTCATACACAACACAAACACACGGAATGTCTTACGAATGCGTTCTTATACTCAGGCTTTCCGGCAATTATTTTCATATTCTGTAGTCTTGTCTTAGCTTTTAGTCGATAATTAATACCAAAGAAAAAATTGTTTCAATCAAATGAACACAAGTATTGCGAATTTAATGAACAAACCGATGTCGACGGGCATCGACACCCCGGCCGTGAATAACCCGGATATCATAGACGCCATGAAATGACACATAATATTATCGCTAAAATATTTGGTCGACAGTAGGGTTTGCTTTGACTGCGAATACGAGGCTAATTGGGCGGCGTTCACCACCATTGCCCGGGTTATGGTGGGTACGCAACCCCTCCATAGGGTCAGCACCCCCTCCTCCCTCGTGATACGGCTCAGGGCGTTGAACACATTGGTATAGTTGCGGCGCTCAGCCGCTGGTAATCGGCCGTCGGATGTCATCCTAATGAGCGACACCTCAGCCGGAGTGCCGACGAAAGCGCCGATTCCTCCGGCAATCATACCGATGACAGCCTTTCCCATAAAACCGGGAGGTTTTCCGTAATCTGCGCTCACTTTCTCGAAAAGCGACGAATAGATGCCTAACCGGACGGTCGCGTACGTGGCCTGTCGTAAGAGGCCGGCCGACAGACCCACGTATAGACCGCCGACGCCCTCATTCTTGACGACCGCTCGGATGGCGTGAAAACTTGTCTTAAACTCCTTTCCCTTACGGCCTTCGCCTGCAATTCAGTCATTATTGAGACAAACATTTTGTATGTATTTATGGATTGAATTGATTGACCGCTTAATTGCATCCGATTTTTGATGAGATCGAAAGGCTGTACGAAACACGTGGCCAGCATTCTGGGGGACAGTCGTGTTTGTAGTAATTTAATTAACTAATTAACTAATTTTTATATATACACTCATATTAGTAGACATACCCCGCGGTTCCCCCAAATAGGAATCGTATGTATTTAGGAATTGTTTGATTTGTATTTGTTTGAGACATTGTCTTGGGTTTTGAAACTACTTTTTATTTTATTTAAATTTTTGACTTATTTTAATGTAACATTTATAACTTGAATATTCTTTCAAAATACAATGTATATAAAGTTATTTATCATAATTAAACAGGTGACATTTGAGTAACTATGACAATTATTATCAGTTAACATTTAAACAATATTAAACTCTATAACCATTATCAAACAAATTTTTATTACATTAAAATTGTTTTAAATAAATGCGACTACTGTCTATTTTAAAATGAAACCCCAGTTTAACAGGTTTTTCAGCTATATGATATACTTTAAGTCCAAAGTTTTGTCTGAAGTCAACATTATTCACTAAAAACTTTTTATGTCCTTCAGTTGTGACATAAAATATTACATTGATAACATTTCCCACAATATATGAGTTAAACATTCAAACGGAAAACAAATGAATGATTATAATTAAAGATTTCAATAATTTATTAGTTTAAATAT